AGCCGCTGACGTTGATCGTTCCTATGTTTGGTGTATTAGCCATTTTATATTTTGGTTAGGGTGGCGGAGAGAGAAGGTTTGACCTTGTCAAAGGAGATGCTGATTTCTTGATTTGAGTGTATTAGGTGCATTTTTTGCCCAAGGGTGTGGAAGACTACGGGAGGCAGATAGGTGCGAACGCAGGCTCCAGCCTCCGGGAAGATGTTGAGGAGGGCCATCACGCATCGGATGACATCCTGTAACACGTCTGTCTGTCGGCGGGTCATGGCATTTAATGGGGCCACCAGTTAGGGAGCGAACTGGCCCCCAGGCCTTTGGACGCCTCGGAGAGATTTGGCTGAAGGCCGCGTGGTTTTCTCCGCAGTTGGCGCACTTAAACTGCGGATCCTGCTGCTGGCACTAGCTGGTGGTGTGCTGTCCGGATCATAGACCACATGCTGGTTCACGCTCGCACGGGGTGGTAGAACCATGGAACTGCAAACACGGCTGCAATGCGTTGGCTGGTCTGGAGGTGGATGGGAGGCCTCGACTATTCTCCAGACTTTCACTGCCTCAAGGCCACGCTCTTCCAGTGCGTCCTTGACGTCCTCTTCGCTGATGTCCCGGTGCACTCCACGGAGTACGCAGGGCGCAAGTGCCTCGGGTTCCTTGCGTGGTGTCTCGAGGTTGATGTTATGGTGAGGGGGCAACCGACTCTCCCTGGCAGCTTAAGTTTAAGAAGTGTTTGAGATGTATTATTTTCTTGCATGAAATAATTTTACAGATTTATTGTGTCTGAGTTTTAGGTTCTGACAATTATTAGTAATAAAAACATCAAAACTAAATAACTTAAAACTTGAATGATTCAAAATATATTTATTTATTCTATTTTGTTTTATTGTTACAAAAGCAATAATTATACATTGTTTGATAATATTGGAAAAATGACGAAAGATTCAAATAATAAATGATATGATCCAATTCGATTAACTATAAATGCTCCATATCCTCCGTATCCGCCATAACCTCCAAATCCACCATAGGCTGATTCAGCTGTTTCCAAGCCTTCTTTCTTGTCATTTGGGACTGACACAGGTTTATGTCCATCAGCCGGATATGCCGAAGCAATTGCGATGAAAGCGATACCAAAGATGATGATTTCCTAAAAAAAAATTTAACATTATATACAAAAAAAAAGTTTGTTATTATAATCTAAGTTTTTCGTAATAATTCAAGTGACAAACTTGTTGATTTTTTTTTTACTTTCTAAATTTTATGTTTATTATTAAAAATATTGATTGATTGATGATGATTAAATATAGTATATGTTGTCAAAGTACTCACGAAGACCAGGTTTTCATAGATTTCTTGATCGATAACAAAACGAGCATATGCCAAGTAAATTAGAGTCGTCCAGTTGTATAGATATCGTCTCTTTTTGACGTTGAAGCGAACATACTGTCCACTGTCGGTCTCTTCTAAAGTTTCTTATTCAGTCAGTTTGAAAGTCATACTAATATACATATTATTAGGAAATGTATGTATCTAATATTGTGACTGCCTGCCTAAATGGGGATCCACGAGAATGGACATATCATGCAGTCCCAATTCAAGAGGTTCATTGCATGTCAGAGTCGATATAAACCACTTTGTGAATGATTGCTCTAGCGCCTTCGGTTTTGGATATATTTTAAAAATATATACAAGACGCTTTGTCGTTGCCAATTATAATAAATACTATTAAATAAATTAAAACATGAGTGTGAAAATAGATATCAATTTATTTCTTCCATTTTAAGTTTGTTATTGCATAAGTAAATTCATACATTGTTTGATGCTAATAGAAAATTGATAAAAATACATAAAATATATTTCATTTGATCCAATCTCATCAAATATATGGCATTTGGTTAAAATTTAACCATGATAACCGTAACCGTGGTAAGGATATCCTCCATAACCACCGTAGCCTCCATAACCTCCGTATCCTCCCAATCCTCCGTATCCACCATAACCTCCGTATCCTCCATAACCTCCGTATCCTCCATAACCTCCGTATCCTCCATATCCGCCATAACCTCCGTATCCACCATAAACAGATTCAGCTGTTTCCAAACCTTCTTTCTTATCATTTGGGATTGGCGTTTGTTGAGGTCCATCAGCAGGATATGCCGAAGCGATGGCAATGAAAGCAATAGCAAAGATGATGATTTCCTGCAAATAAATAAAATTCAACATTTCAATTAAAAAAAAAAGATTATGGCTTTAATCCTCAGATTTCAAAACTTGAGAATTTTTATGTATGTTAACTGTTAATTAGTTATTAACTATTGTTTATTGAAACAAATATAATGATATATAAACGCGTTTCCGTTTAAGAAATCAAAAGGGCCAAACATTTAATAACTATTACTTGTGTCATTTGGGCCCCCTTGCTGCGAAGTTGATTATAATATAAATTATTTTAAAAAAGTATTAATAAGAGTGAAAAAATAAATTATTGTTCCAAATTAACCTGATCTTTACTTTATTCAATAATTGATTATATAAGTAAATTTATGTTTATCCAGTACTCACCTTAATCATTTTCGTAAGATTTTTGCAAGACCAGTGTATCTGTGTGTGTGATGTTCACTTCTGATTCCTATATGCTCTTCGGCACGCGCTTTATATATGACATATATTTATATAAATTGTTCTTTTTTTCGCAATAAACACTTCCACTTCGTCTCTCATCCACTCCTCTCTTTAAAAACACCAAGTAAATTATTTATTGCAGTATGAATATTTATCAGTGTATCTTTATCTCGTAATGCACAAAAACCTATTGTCAATAGCATTTTTTTATTTGTTATTAATTATGTATGTATAATATATCCAAAATATATAACAATTTTAATAAATTTCTTGTCTTTTTTGTGTATTTTAATAGTATTTTTACATTATTTTTGTAATGAAAATATTTTTTAGTTTGCAGATTTTCTTGAAAATGTACAATCATTCAATGAAGTATGAAACTATTACGTTTTGTTGATTTCAGTTTTTTTTTTCATTTTACTAGAAAGTGAATTATACCTAGATTGGATAATTGATAAACCTATTAATGAAAATTATCACTGATAATTGCATAATTATAGCAAAAAAAGTTTATAGTAGAAAGACCTTAGTTAATCTAGCTCGTCGAAATTAAAGAAAATTGTAAATGATTTAATTACATAAATAAAATTGCTTGTTTATGTAACCCATATCGAAGTGACATGTAACCTAGCGACCTTGCGTTTTATTAATTGGAGGATAGATGATTTCAACTTCTTTTTTGTTGCAATTCGCTGCAACATCGTCATTTATATTAATAAGAAAAGTGAATATCAGTCAATGAATATATATGATGATTCATGTTTATTTTTTAAGAAACATATAACAACATTAATAATAATTTATAGATATTTACCTCAATAATATCAACATAAAAAGTATAGACTCAAAATAAGACTTTATGATTCCAATAATGAATATACTAATAAATTATATTAATATGATGTTAAAACAATTTGTACGTACTTACAGTTTAATATCATACTGTTTAATAACATCTGTTAATATTTTTTGTAACTTTATTTTGAATATACTTATATCTTACTATAACTATTAATTTATTTTAATAGAACGAATATTTATTTTATACATACAATCGAGTGATAAAAAAACAATGTAATCTTATGTCTTTGGCATATATTTCCAATTGGAATTGTCAAATTTCTTTAAACGTGTAACAATTTATTTTATCAAATAAACAAAAGTTAATACTATTAGCTTGTATATCCTTTAAAATTTGAATTTTAAAAACGTGAATATTAAGAGCAATTACAGATCCATCGATTTCAATTTCTTCACAGTGCGCAGACTTACTTGTGACGATTAGTTAAGTAGGCTTATCAGAATTGTTTATTCTTTAATAAATTTTAGGGAAAACTATTCAAAGTTCTTTGATTTCTAAATTGATCTGCTTTTCTCAATTTTGTTATTGATAATATTCGCATCTTAATATGTTACCAAACTAATACCAACTTATTTCGATTGCGTAATATACATTGTTTTGCGTCAGAATAACCGATTGTAGATAACCAGAAGAGTTGATAATTATTGCCCTTTCCACGTTTATACCATGATCCACTTTAATCTGGTTCATAGCTAGACCATCAAAATCTCTCCTTAAATCGAAATAATTAAGATCGAAGTTGAAGATGATCTTCACGTAAGTTGGATGGTGTTGTGTCATTATAACATTATTAAAACTTTGTTGTCCCTTTTACAGAGGAATTGCAACAAAAACGCTAAAGTAAAACAAATCATTACTTTTTAAGTATTTCTGATTCATTGGATGTATATAGAAACATGCTATAATTGGATGTATATAGAAACATGATATAATTTCGTCTTCTTCGCAAGTTTCAAAATTATTTACTAATAATTCACGTATAGAAACTGATATTGCTAATTTTGCAATTATATCATACCATAGCAATTTGATATGGTTCTACATTGTTCAAAATTTGAAGGAAACACATGGCTAATTTTTTATACATTTCAGATTGAAAAACTGTTTGAAATGTAAATATTATTGAATAATAAATTGTTTACATAGAAGCTGTAATTGGAATTTTAAATAAAACAATTGCTAGTGTAGTTAGTATATAATTAACAAATCACATTAAGATAAAATAAATTGTATGAATAAATGTATTTACAATATTTAATACAAACATACACATTATTCAAAGATAGTAATTATTCAAGTTTCAAATAAGTTTCGATTATCTTTAATTATATTAATTTGAACATTTTGATTGCAATGGAAATTTTATCTTAAAAGGGACTTTCTAGTGAACAAACTATAGATATTTTTTTAAAATGGTTAATCGCTTATGTTAATCAAGTATTAGAGCTTTTAAATTCTAAATTGATCTGCTGGAATATCCACTATTACCGTTCACCGCACACAGTTGCTGTATGTACGGTACCACTTCTTTCACGCTACCCGCCAGCCATGATTCTTCCTGTAAATATAGAAGCGTCTACTGTTTTTACCATCTTTCAATATGATAGAATCGTTTTTAAAATTATGTTATATATAAAATTAATTTTCTTCTCTTTTCTTAGGAAATAATTAAAAAATCTTATTTTTATCATGGGTATATATTTTTTAATTTAAAATGCACATAAATTATTAAGCAGAAATACTTTGATCGATATAGCCTTTCGTCTAAATTTAATTTATACTTTCAACTTCTGTTAAAACTCACCAGCAATATAAAACAATATAATTTTGACTATAAAAGCCATTGCCAGTTACCAATAACAGATGCATCTACACAGATCTCTGCAGCATTATCATATCTTCCAATTCAGTGCATAAAATCATCAAATTATTCAAATTATTATTGTTTACTTCTATTTTCAATCATTCCTAAAAATTGTGGTTGTTATTCTTAACTAAGTATTCCAAATCCATAACATTAAATTAAATAATTATATTTAATAAATTGCTAATAAAAATTTCTTTACAATTTTTTTGTTTCCAATAAATATAATTAAATTAATAATTAATTAATTAAAAATATTTATTATACCAACCATCAAAATACAATGACAAAGGACCGTTGAACTTTTCGCCTTAAATATAAAATAAATGATTAAAATATGTTTTGCCTATTAAAATTATGAGGCTACTAATATTTATTTTCTTGTAAATTAAGCACTTGCAACATTTTTTCAATCTGTTTTGCGAAGTTGTCTTCTCAGTATTTTGCCGGTGTTTCCTCTAGGAATGCTTTCAACAAACTTAACACCGCCATGGAGCTGTTTATTTATGGAGAAACGATCTGTTTTAACAATTCAATATATAATATATTATATTATTTCCAAATTTAATGTTTAAATTATAACTTACCGGCAATATAACATTTTACGTCCTCTTCATTTAGTTCAGAATTTTTGACTTTAACCACAAAAGCCATTGGCAATTCTCCGGCTCTTTCATCGGCAATACCAATAACAGCTGCATCTATAATATCTTTGTGCAGCATCAACATATCTTCCAATTCAACAGGAAGAACCTAATAGGATTCAAATTTATCAAATTCATTATATTTATAACTGCGTACATTTTATAATATCATAACCTGAACGTAAAAACAAATCCTGCTTTATACCCAGTACACAATTACTTAAATGTTTTAAAGTTTTTATAATTATTTTTTAAATTCAAACCTGATATCCTTTGTATTTGATCACATCTTTTAATCTATCGTTGATAAAGAAGTAACCATCCTCGTCGAAATAACCTAGGTCTCCTGTACGAAGGAATCCTTCATCATCAAAGGCCGATAATGTAGCTTCAATGTTTCCGAGATATTCTTTCATGTTCATCTTACTTTTCAAACGAATTTCGCCTACTTTTCCGCAATTCAGTTTTTCATTTGTCAGTGGATCAACTACTTTTGCCTCAATTTTTGGAATTAGTTTTCCCACGCTTCCAAACTTCAACTTTTCTCCTACAAATTCTGCCATTGCTAGACCACACGTTTCGGTCATTCCATACAATTGTCTTACCTGACAATTGAACCTATATGCAAATGTATTACTATATTATTATGTAAATACATCATATTACCTTTTTTGAATGGCATTGTGAATATCTTGAGTGAGCGGCGCTCCACCGCATATTATATTCTTTATAGATGTCAAATTGTATTTGTCAATAATGGGACTTCGAGCTAAAAATGTCGCTATAGTGGGAATTATTTCTAGAGCCACGATGTTATGTTCTTGTATAATTTCACAGAAAAGATCTGGTTTGAACTTGGATAATATCACAAGTTTGGAATGTTGTATAAGGGTGCCAAAAACATGCATTAAACCAAAGATATGGCAATATGGTAATACGCTGATTTTCGTATTTTCTCGGTAAAGCACAAACTGATTTCTACAAAATACTTTTACTACAGGAATTATATTTCTTAAAATAATTTTACTTGAAACTTTCGATTGCGTAATATACATTGTTTTGCGTCAGAACAACCGATTGTGGATAACCAGTTGTACCAGAAGAGTTCATAATTATTGCCCTTTCCACGCTTATACCAGTATCCACTTCAATATGATTCAAAGCAATACCATCCTTAATAATATCCAAATAATTAACATCAAAGTTGAATATGGTTTCCACGTAAGTGGTATCCTGTTGTAGCCTTATAACATTATCAATATATACATTAGAAGTAAAAACCATCTTTGGTTTACTTTTATCAAAACTTTGTTGCAATTCCGCTGTAAAAGGGGTAATTTGAGAAATTTAACAATAGATAAAATAAATCATTACCTTTTAAGTAGTTCTGATTAATTGGATGTATGATTGCTTGTATATAGAAACATGCTATAATTGATACGATGTATTCCATTCGATTTTCGCTTACAATACCAACGATATCGCCGCTTTCGATTCCTATATCTCTCATCTTCTTCGCAAGTTTCAAACTATTTACCAATAACTCATTGTACGTAATACTGACAGTGCTAATCTTGCACGTCTATAAAGAAACAATATATTTTTAAGAAATTCAATAACAAACAAAACAATATATATATATATAATACCATTGCAATTCGATCTGGATCAGCTGTACTGAAAACTCGTAAAAACTCCTGTCCCAAACTTCTGGTCATCGCAGTTACAGAGATCGAATGTTACATACAAACAAATTACTTAAACAGAATGAAATGCAAGTTTTATCAAATAATATTTTGCTTATATATAACATAGTTGTATGTGATAATTGGTAATAAGAAATAATTACTATTGCTTCATGGCTCATTGATATCTGATCAAAGTGTAGTAATAATTACTTATTTAATTAAAATTTGCCAGCCATAAGTTTTAAATAATTTTAATAATGCAGTCAATTCGGCTTAATCGGGACACATTGGGACTACTACATGTTGTCCCGATTAAGCGGTCAAAAAACTATACGTATTCATACATATTAAAAAAAATATAGATACTACATAACAGAAAATGATATACATTATGTAACAATAAATATGTATGCGCGGGCTGTTCATAGATGCGGTGGATCCATGGATACTGTGCGACGCAACCATGGACTGGGGACTCACACACGATTACTGTCCCGATTAAACGGAAAATTTTCCCGACAAAGCAGAATAAATTTATGTTATTTCCATAGTTTTGTTTCCGATTTTTAGGATTTGTCCCTTATAATTTGATGTCCCAATTAAGCGAAATATACTGTATATTACATTTATTATCAAATCTAATAACTAGTTAATAAAGAAAGTAATTGTTATTGATAGTTGTATTTTATAAAAGCTATTATCTATCTGTTAATTAATTAAATGTTTAAAAGTAAATAACTGTAAATAATTATTAAGTGACAAAAAGCACATGATATCTGCGCACTTATTTATTCAATCATTTCTAAAATTTCCATTGATGATTGCTATTTTTAAAGAAGGTTTCCAAGTTTACAATTTTAAATAACAATATTTAATTCATTATTTATTACAACAACCATAAAACTATATAGGCATTTGACCGTGCCTTAAAGAAAAATAAATCAAAAAAAATATGTTTACGCCATTAACATTATGTGGCAACATATTTTTATAATATTTAATCATTTTTTCAATGTTTCTCGAAGTAATCTTCTTAGTATTTTGCCGGTGGCTCCTCTGGGAATGCTTTCAACAAACTTCACACCACCGTGGAGCTGTTTGTTTATGGAGCAGCGTTCTATTATAGGAACTCAAAATATAATTATGTTATCTCTAAATTTAATTTTAAGTTTTAACCAATTAAAACTCACCAGCAATATAATATTTCACGTCCTCTTCGTTCAGTTCAGAATTTTTATCTTTGACCACAAAAGCCATTGGCAACTCCCCGAATCTTTCATCAGCAATACCAATAACAGCTGCATCCACAATATCTTTGTGCAGCAACAGCATATTTTCCAATTCTACAGGAAGAACCTAATAGGATTTAAATTTAATAAATTCAGTTACATAAAAATTGTAAAATCGAATGCTAATGCTTCCTAACCAGCTTTCCTGTGTTTTTTCTATAACTGTTTTTAAGTGCAAACCTGATATCCTTTGTATTTAATCACGTCCTTTAATCTATCATTGATAAAGAAGTAGCCATCCTTGTCGAAATAACCTATATCACCGGTACGAAAAAAACCTTCTTCATCAAAGGCCGCTAATGTAGCCTCAATATTTCCAAGGTATTCTTTCATGTTCATACCACTTTTCACACAAATTTCACCTAGTTCTCCGCAATTCAGTTTTTTCTTTGTCAGTGGATCAACCACTTTTGTTTCGATATTCGGAATTGGTTTTCCAACGCTTCCAACCTTCCATTTTTCGCCAATAGGAGCGAGCATCACTAGACCACATGTTTCGGTCATTCCGTACAATTGTCTTACCTGACAATTGAACCTGTGTTTAAATACAATACATTATTTTATTTATATTTAAATATTTCAAATTACTTTTTTAATATGGTATTTTGAATATCTTGAGCAAGCGGTGCTCCTCCGCATACTATATTCTTTACAGATGTCAAATTGTATTTATCTATAATGGGATTCCGAGCTAAAAAAGTCGCGATAGTTGGAACAGTTTCTAGAGATACGATTTTGTGTTCTTGTATAATTTCACAGTAAAGGTCTGGTTTGAACTTCGACAGTATTACAAGTTTGGATTTTTTCTGAAGAGCGTCGAGAACAATGAACAAGCCAGATATATGACAGAATGGTAATATGACCAGCTTCGCTTTTTCCTTGTACTGCATATATGAATCTCTACAAAATAACGTTACTATGGGAATTGAATTTGATCTAATCATATTACTGCAAGTATTCCATTGCGTAATGTATGTTGTTCTGCGTTAAAACAACCGATTGTGGATAACCGGTTGTACCAGAAGAATTAATAATTATTGCCCTTTCTATGCTGATTTCAGGATCTAATTCAATTTGCTTCAGAGCAAGTCCATCTTTAGTAATATCCAAATAATTAACATCGAAGTTGAAGATGGTCTCCACGTAATTAGTCTCCTGTTGTAGCATTATGACTTTATCAAAGTTTTCTTTAGAGGTAAAAACCACCTTCGGTTTACTTTTATCAAAACCTTGTTGTAATTCGGCTAAAATATAAAAACTTTTGAATTTTAACAATTTAAAGTTATAAACCAATACCTTTTAAATAGCTCGGATTCATAAGATGTATGACAGCTTGGAGATAGAAACATGCTATAACTGATACGCAGTATTCTATTCGATTTTCACTTACAAATCCAACGACATCACCTCTTTCGATTCCAATGTCTCTCATCTTTTTCGCAATTTTCAAACTATTTACCAATAATTCATTATACGTGAGACTGGCATTGCTAATTTTGCATATCTACAAGTAAAAAATATATTTTTAAATCCGTCCAGCCAAGAATTATATCAAACCATAGCAATTTGATCTAATTCTGCATTGTTCAATATTTGTAGAAACATGTGGCCCAAATTTTTAGCCATTGCAGATTAAAAAACGTAGTTGCAGATATCAGAACTTATTTAATATGCAAATATTATTGAATAACAGATAGTTTATATAGAAGCTGAATTTGCAGTTTTAAATAAAACAATTGTTAGATATAATTAACGAATTACATTAAGATAAAATAAATTGTATGAATAAATGTATTTTCAATGTTTCACATTAAAGGAAATGGGTTTGTTTGCAATTAGATAACTACAGTAACAATTAAATATAATGGTTTCAATAGAAACATACTAATTATTTAAAGATTTCAGTCAAGTGTTCAATTGTACACGTCTAACTAAATAATATTAAAAGTAATTAATTATTAATTAGTAATTAATCAAGTTTCAAAGTTTTAATTTCTAAATTGATCTGCTTTTCTTGATTTAGTTTTATCTTCAGATAATTTTTGCATCAGAATCATTGTAATATTCAATACTACTAACATGCACCGCACGCAGTTGCTGTATGTACGGTACCATAGATATTTAAGAAAATCTAAATCATAGTAAATACATACAAATATGTACTTTTTAAGATTTTATTACTTCTTTCACACTGTCCGCCAGCCATGCCATGTAAATATATAAGTTTTTGCCATATTTCAATATGACAATTTAAAATTAAATTATTTATAAAATTATTTTTAAATGAAGGCAATTTTTATGTTTAGGTTTCTTATGAATTAATTAAAATTACAGTCCAAGTGCCTAATTTACTAATTGTTCAAGTTTCAAATAAGTTTCGATTATGTTTAATTATATACATTTGAACATTTTGATTGCCATGGAAAACTAATTAAACTTGAAAAGGCACTTTATATTGAAAAAACTGTTGATTTTCTATCCATAATGATTTCAACAATTTTAATGATGGCATCAGAAAATATCCTATTCACCCAAAAGAACGGATAATTATTTAAATTTGATCCAGTTATCACCCGATACAAATAATCCTAAATAAAGTTGAGACAAATCCAACATAAAAATCAATTATACCAGTACGGCCTAAAGCCCAGAAAGGAACACAACAAATAATAAATAATTTTTTAAACTTAAAAAAACATTAAGTAAAAATGAAAACATTGAAATAGAAGAAGATGAAATTACTGTCTAAATAAATTGTTGACATTAGTAGACCAAATACGGTAATTTTAATGTGAATTATCCTTACTGATTACATTGATATTCTTATCGACTTTACCTGTTTCTAAGGATAAGAGTACATTTACTAAATTAAAAATAATCATTCAACCAACCAACCAGGAAAACTTGAAAGGTTTGGTAAATATTTCAATTGAAATTTAAAATATAAAATTGGAAAATCTTTTCAAATTTAAAAATGTGTAGAAAGGGGTCTATATCGCAAACCCGACAACCGAAAGACCGTCTATTCGACATCCCAACGCTCGAAATCCCGACTGTATCGAAATCCCGACTATATCAAAATCTCGACAACCATAATCCCGACTGTATCAAAATCTCGACTCCCATAATCTCGACAAACATAATCCCGACTATATCAAAATCCCGACTATATCGAAAATTGCTATATCGTAACTTGTGCTACACTTTTATTATTAATAACAATAAATTATTATAAATTTATTTGATTTTGTTGAATTATTCATAATTAACCTTAACATTATGAAATAATATCAAATACCATTGGATTATTAATTGTTATTATTTATTATTAATAACAATTTAAAAATCATTAAGCTCTGCAATAATTTAAAAATGATATTGTAGACATTTTCGATATAGTCGGGATTATGGTTGTCGGTATTTTAATATAGTCGGGATTTTGATATAGACGGGATTATGGTTGTCGGGATTTCGATACAGTCGGCATTTCAAACGTCGGGATTTCGAACGTCGGGAATTTGATTGATGGTATTTCGGTTGTCGGGCTTGCGATTGCCACCGGTGTAGAAATACGCCTACCTCTCGTTTTACACGGTAGGTATGCTCCTGAGAAAAATGTGTAAATCAAACATTTTTTGACATGTATTTGTTATTAAACGGTGTAAAAGCTTACTTTTTTTTTAATCGTAGACTCACTTGACTCGAAAGGCGTCAAATAATTTTCTTTAATTTTTAATGCAATTCTGTTAAATACTATGTCGAACTTATTTTTTGTTTTAAGTTTTGAATCAGTGATTTGTTGTATACTAGAAATTTTAACGTTTGCATTAAATAAAAAAAATGGAAAAATTTAAGAATTAACGTAATCGTGACATATAATAAGAAGTCCTACTTAATTGCATTTTACGCAATCCGAAAGCTGACGATTCGTGACATGTTTTCCTCAAGAAACCGCACATTTTAACTACCATTTACCACACAATTAGTCACGCTACAAAATAAAGAACAATAAACTAATTATAAGTGTTATGAAGTGATCAAAATGCATAGCTTGACGATGTTTGAAAAGGAATTTTATTTATTTTTTTTTACAACTTTGTCTATTTCACCTTTAGAAATATATTTTGGTATTAAAAAAAATTAATTAAAAAAATATATAAACATGTGATTCCATGACTTTTCAAATTCAAAGTTAAAAATAATGCAATGTTAATTGAGTGAATTAAACAAAGTATTCATGCAACTGGACGGGAACACATAATGCTAATTGATTCCGTCTCGTCTACGTTTTTATTTTTGGGAATTTCAAAGAATTTGACTCAAATCATCGTATGCATTGAAATTATCGACGTTGTAAACATAATTAAGATTTATAGAAATTAAATGTCGAAGAGGTGTCTGATAGTTCGTGACTTGTTTGTTTTACCTTGAAATTCATCAAAAATAGTAAAAACATGTTACTACGTTATAACAAAGAAAATCAATATTTTAATATCTACGTATAACTATTATTTGAGTTCATTCTTTTTGCTGGTTATATGAAATTGAATTGGAAGAATTTGTGGACTAAATATATTATAAAATTAGTAAATCATCAATATGGAATTATGTATGTAATAAAATCGAAATAAAAACAATTTTAAAAGAAACCACATAAACAAATAAGAGAGGTCAGGTGAAATTGTTGGCCGAGGTCATCACATGATTAAATTTATGCGATGTCACATAAATTGTCGAGATTGTAAATTTTTAAAGTGAAAAAGGTATTTCGTAGACTGGATGAATTAGTAGCATGTTTCTTTATGTGTGCAATGTAAATGTTACCAATGAAACAAAAATAATTGAATAGCAAATGTGTTGTCTCTTTCATCGAAATAATATATTTCACAATAAACAATTGTGTTTAAATCATTCGGTATCATTGTTTAAAGTTTAATATGCGGTAATTAAAGTCTATAAAAAAATATAAATGCTGGAATTACCAAAAAAATAATATTGATGGATATAAACAAAATTGTTCGAATTTGCATATTCGCATTTAGATAGATGTAAATCCAAATAGCCTTGATATTTGCACGACGAAAATATCGAATCTCAAGAAATGTGTGATGCGAAAAATGTAAATAATTATGGAATTAACAATTAAATAACAAGGCAGATGTAATTTATAATTCATTATTTATCATTTTACTTGCCTAGTCATTTATGCATATTTTTAATGGAATAATTTTTAATTATTAAACTTTGAATGAAATTTTTCAATTCCATTAATATAATTAAAAAGTTTTCACGAAATTACTTTGTTAAGCGAGAAAAAATACATTTACATTCCTTCATAAAGTAAATTATAAGCTTTTTTTAATGAAAAAAAATATTATTAAATAAACAGACAACTTACATAAACCATGAAATCACATTTTAAAACATAAATTCAAAGTTGATTGTTTGTGCTTATTGAATTTACACTGATTGCTTAACAATAATATTTCTTCCTAAATCAGGACATTTTTTTAAATGTTTTTAATATATTATTATTAAATCTTTGCTTGTTAACATTTTTTCAGCGGGAACTTCTATAATTTCCTATTTATGATAATAATGTTCTCGAAATCTTTTACTGAAAAACAATCATTTGGATAACTAAATTTGTAATTTCTTAGATGTTATTTTTTCTAGTACAACTTCTGGAAAAATTGTATGGCATACCTCATTTAATCATTTCATATTAACTTCTTTTTATGTTTATAATTGCGTTTTCAATTATGTAGTTTTTATAAATAGATTTATTTGTCATTGTCGTTAATTAATTTAGATAATAGTTCAATTAAATTGTTTATGTCATCGCTGTTAACAAGGTTTTCTAAATTGAAATGCCTTCAATAAATGTTTCTCTTCGTCTTCATCAACATTTTGGAAACCTAATGATTAAGCCCTCTGGATAACTTAATGTCTAATGTCAAGATGTTTTTCTTCTACTAGAACAACTTCTAACCATATTTTGTGGCATACTCCATTTATATATATTTCTTACCGACTTTCCATAAACTATCAATATTTTCAATGACGTGGTTTCTTCAATAGTTTTAACTGTCAGAGAATTAATTTAATTGAGTTTTGACTACAAAATAATAGTTCAATTAAATTGCTTTATGTTCAATGCAGATAAGAGGCTTGAAATTATTTTATTATTTCCTTATGTTTTCAAGAAGAAACACATCTTTGATATATCGAAGTTTCGTTATCAGATGTAATCTAAACCGGGGTATGACTGTATAAAATCACCATTTCAGCAAAAACAATACATGTTTCTGTTATATATATATAGAAGACTTATAATATTAGAAAAGATCAACTACTTTAAACATTAAAGTAATTGAAGTAATTTAGGTAAAAATTGAGAAAATAATAGTCCAACACATTGTTTTCTATTGTCGCCTGTATCAGGAAGTTCGATAGGATATGAAGAGATGAGTTCGCATTAAATTATGCAATTTCTGCATAGTTACCTGAAACTTTAAAATAAAAATGTTATTCAAATATTAGTAAATTGTATGTACATTTGGCTGCATACGTTCACAAGTACTGACATTGTTTGTAAATACGTCAAATTTGTCATCAGCTGTTTGGCATGTGCATTGTTTCCTGAATGTCAGGTTGTGTATGCAGTGTTTATGAGATTAAATTTGAAACAAATCCGTCTCAAGTATAGCCGTCCATTTCCAATGGGAATTAGGAGTGTAGTCTAATTGGATGTAATATGGAAGAAGTGAGGTTGTTGGTTCAAGAGGAGGGAAGAGAGGCACGGAACATCCTTGCCTTTAGCATTTCAGCTGCTGATGGTAAACTGAGTATATACCACAAAACTGCAATAAGCTTCTTAAATACACACCATTGTATTTGTTTGTATATTAATAGTTTTAATAATTAATTTTTATATTGATTACTCATTTCTTAACAATGTTTGCTTGCTGTAATATAATGACTTTTTTGTTATAGGTAAGGTCTCAAGGAAGCCTCCTTGTCCTCCGAGGCTTATAGAGAGCAGGAGGCCATTGAAGCAAGCTCCAGTGAATTTTCGCTCTAGGTCAGGAGCCAGAGTGAGGTCTGCATCAACTGGACGTGACAAGAAATCAGAGTTGAGAGCTAGGTATTGGGCTCTGCTTTTTGGAAATCTACAAAGATCTGTAAGTATTGTTTTATATAGTTTTTACCCTAATTGTAACAAAATTAAATTTTCAAAACATATATGCTCCTTGCAGGGGAAATTGATCTCTCATGATAGGCAAAAATCACTGTATTTCTACACACAAATGCAATTATCTGCAAATATGATGATGCAGATGTGAAAAGTGGTGTTTGAAAAACGCTTTTTTATTATCCTTTAATATTATAGTTTAAATATTTGCAATGTTGATTTTATTGTAAAATCTAAAAAATATATATTTGTCAGGTTTTTTAAACAATCAGTTTATAATTTTAAGTTTACGTTGAAATTCTCCAAAAATCTTTTAATATTTTCTTAAAACATCAAATATTATATCGGTTCATTAATTTTCTATACAATTATTGATATTTGACAAAAGAGATCCTCCCCGGCGGGGAATCGAACCCCGGTCTCCCGCGTGACAGGCGGGGATACTGACCACTATACTACCGAGGATTTATTTATAACAATATATAAAAATTGTTGTTAATTCCATTACAATTTAATAATTTAATGGTTCTAATGTATGCAAAACATAATTGGCAGCGGTGGGATTCGAACCCACGCCTCCGAGGAGACTGGTGCCTTAAACCAGCGCCTTAGACCGCTCGGCCACGCTACCTCTTATTAAAAAATAAGTAAAGTTCTCTGAAAATACATTAGGAACTATTTATAAAAACTAGTTTTTGTTTTGAAGAATTTTTCGATTAAAATATGTATATATATGTATAGATTGTATATTACTATATAGCTCTAGTAGCCGTGATCGTCTAGTGGTTAGGACCCTACGTTGTGGCCGTAGTAACCCAGGTTCGAATCCTGGTCACGGCAATGTGAAAGCATTGTCACGGTAGAGTTTTCTTTTGAAATGATTAATTCACATTGTGCATTAATATACTTTGAATATTTTGCAAATTGCTGTTTCGATAGTGTAGAATTTTTAAATAACGTTTTGCTTTTCTTAAAATCTCAATAACGTTTTTTGTTTTCAGATTGGAGAGATTTACAATACCGTTGAGACGCACGAAAGTCTAACGGAGTGTCAGGAAGTAACCTTGGTTTTGGAAAATTATTTACGGGATTTCAAGGCTTTAGCCGAATGGTTTCTCTTAAAATGGGACTACGAGAATACCCCTGCTCCGCATAAGAGGACTTCTTTGGCCTGGGATATTTGCAAGACGAATTTGAGCAAGAATCAAATCAAGTCGGGAAAGTCGAGCCCGAATATAGGATCAGGTCGAACGAGTCCGGTCACCGGGAAAGTCAGCCCAAGAATACTCACACAGAAGTTAAGATCTGCCAGCTCTGCACCGACCAGTCCTTTGCCGATAGATAAACCTATAATTGAGGATAAGATCTTGGAGACATCACATTTTGAATTTCTAAATGAATCCTATTTACAGCAAGGTCATTCCCCGAGGGAATCCCTAAGCAAAGAAACTGAAAAGGTTCTGGAATTGACAAAAACCATTATAACTGTGGAGAAGGCGGTGGATTCTCCGAGCGAAGATCAGAAGACTTACGATATCCTCCGAAAGATCGGCGTTCAGAGTGCCGAAAAGAGCACAAGTACAGCTGATGATTTTCCAAAGTTACCAGTGAAGAGGAACACTGTGAAAGTGAGTCAGGAATCGCAAACGGATGAAGTTGCTGAGAAAAAGGTTTCGCCCATAAACAAATCGAAACTTGATATTTCCAAAATGAAATCGCCAAAACCGCCTTATTCCGTTGCTTTATCAAGAAGCGTTTCAGCAAAAGTTGTATCCAACAATAAACCGAAGATAGAAGCAGGCGTAAAACCTACAGCCTCCACTCTAGCCAAGTCTATCACGAAACCCTTCAAACCTTTCAATTTATCACCAAAGCCATTAACGCCTGTGAGAACTGGACTGGCTCGCAGCAAAACCGTAGGCGATATGAAACCCAGCAGTTACCTAAAACCAAAATCCAACAAAGTCGAACCGCGGCCTAAGATCGCCCCAAAAGCCAAACCGCAATCGAAAATCGGAGTGTCGCAAATCAAAAATAAAACCAACAGCAAGTTGGACAACGATTACGGAAGCTCTGTGGAGACTTTGGTGAATCAAGGTGATAACGTGGCTAATAGTATAGCAAGTTCTGCAGAGACTCTCAACAACGAGAACATCAAATCGAGCGATGGTTGGTTAACAGTTAAATGCAGATCGCGTTTTCGAAATGGCAATGGAAAGGGAAGGAAATCCGATACGGCCCTTTCCTGGGCTAACAGATTCCATCAGGTTAGTGCCACCGCGAGTTTACCGGCTCTAGCTTTGCTACCGGAATACTCCGAGAGGACTTCTATCGATAAAACAGCAAAAGACAACCTAAATACCCTCAAATCCTTAAAAAGTATTCATACTCGTAACGAAGACTCTAAGCCCAATCAGAAGAATAATAAGTTGTATTTGCGAAGGTCGCATACGACTCTCAGCAAGGTGACTTTGAGCAAGGAGAATAGTTTGGTGCAAGAGAAGAATAAAACCAATTTAAGTATTAAAAAGTATGATGATTGCCTGAAGATCGCTGACCTTGATTCGGAAACCGATGATGAAGGAAAGATGAAAGAAACTCAGGAGGATTTGGCTAGTGAAGAAGAGCATAGGCAGAAAACGAAGCAGTTGACGGAGGAGGAGGAGCGATTGAATCGCGAGATCGCTAAATTGCAGGGCCAGGAAATTGACGTTGATACGGAAACAGATGGAACTGAAACTGATGGCGAACTTCCATGTGATAATGATGATGATTTGCAAGTATCTGGAGACAGTAACGATGCCGATGATGAGTTGTCTTTGGAAGCGAGATATGAACCAATGTTAGCTGGTAAGTATTTGTATTTTTTTTTATATTTCATTAAATTTGTTATTATTTAAGGAATGTCGTGGGGAGAGCGCGTTGACACTTTGTCAGCACTTCAAGCTTTGGTTGCAAGGTACCCAGGTCGTGCTTTGGAACTTCACCAAAAACTATCAAATCCATCCAGGCGATCGACTCTTTCGGAGACTGTGAAGAAGTACCAGGCGAAACAGGCCAAAGCTCAACAGTTGCGTCAAAATCTTCAGCAAGAGAAATCTGGCAGGTTGCAAGCACTTTGGGCTCGCGTCGAAGATGTGAAATCAGCCAAACAGCAGTTAATTGCCGAGAAGAAACTTCGGATGGAAACGCGATTGCAGAAGGCCGATCAAAACCGTAAAAAACATCTGAAATGCATCGTGCGTAAAGCTCACGATGAAGAGGAGAAACTCAAGGAGATTGCTTTTATAAATGAGCTGGAAGCTCAGAATAAGAAGTGAGTATCTCTATACGATGTTATATAGTTTTTTTGTAATAATATATTATTTTAGGCATGATTTTATGCAACAATGTCGTGAGCAAAGGGATCGGATGCAAGGTATTCATGAGGATAGACGGAAACGACAAGAAGAAAAGGCTGCTAAAGAAGCGGCAGTCGAAGAGCGTAGAAAAGCTTTGGAACGTGAGAGGTTGGAGAGATTGGGTCGGTTGCAGGATGAGCGACGACTGAGAGATGAGAGGATCGGGCAACAGCAGCAGCAAAAGGAAAGGGAGAGGCAGGAAATGGCCAGGGAAAAAGCTAGGGATCGGGAGGTATTTTGGTTATTATCATTTTCGTGAATCCATTTATCAAATTATATCAATTTAAGGAAAGGAAGATAGCGTTGAATGCCCAAAAATTGGCTTCAACTCAGGAATTGCATAAGCGGATCGTTCAAAAGCAGGAGGAATCCGCGAGGAGGCACGAAGAGAATATGGAGCAAATCCGACAAAGGGCTTTGGAGTTGTCCATTCACCGTTGTCAGACAGACGATAACCAAACACCAAACATCACACCTTATCCCACTAGGAAATTTTGCACGCTTTGCAATGCTTTGGTAAATAACATCTAAAAATGAAATAGATATTCTTATTATTATTATTCTATTTATAGATTGTATCTGAGGTGTATTTGATGAGCCATCTCCGTGGAAGGAAACATCAAGACATCTTAAAACAGAGCATGGACAATGCTAGTTTGTCTAGTGAGGATTTAGAAAAGTATAACTTGCAGCACATAGTTGATGCGCCCATGGATAAAGAGGATCCTAAGGCAGAGGCGGCCCGAGAACGCGGAAAGACTTATCGGAAACGATGCAAGAAAATCAGGCAGAGGATGGCCATGAAAGCAGCGGAATACGAGACTGGCCTGAAGAAACCCTCCATGGATTCGCCGAATAAAAGAAATATAACTAAGAACGTGAACACCCTGAGCACGGTGATCAATCAGCCGCCGCAGAGTTGGTCGACGAGCACCTGCAGCCAATTGGATCGTACTTTGAATGAACTTAACAGATTGCTGATCAAGGGTACGCAGCAGGATGTAATGGTGTTTCAGAATGTCAATGGTTTCGTTGTACTAGGAAAGCTGCTTAGTTTCGGACAAGAATCAGTTTATCTGTTGCCACCGAAGTTAGTTCGATGATGTGTACCTTTCTCGTGCTGGTTTAAAACAGAAACTTTCTGCTTGTTTTATTTTAGAACGTTGACGATCGCCTGCAACCTTTGGCTCGTAGCCTGCAAGGGAGCAGCGGGACCTCAAGTTTGCGAGTACGTGGTTCTTTCAAATCGTCTCATTTCTGCTTTGGAATTGCTGAATGTTAAACTTCAAGTAAGTTGATTTCCTATATTTATTATTTTTTATAGAAACAATAACTATTGCATTACGGAACGGAAGTCAAAGATAAATAAAGACAAATGTTAATATTTTTTAAAAAACATTCACTCTTGTGACTAAGAATATATTTACTAAGTGTTAATTTTGACAAGAAATGAAACTATCCAGTAATATTATTAAAATACGAAACGTTGATAGAATTATTCCTAGAAACTAATTTAAATTTATTAAAGTTGCTTCAAATATAGAATAGTTTGATAATAGAAGAAGAAATCTAATTATAGTATAGATACAATGCAAATCTTATTTAGATTGTGTTTAATTTTGTTGGATGCTTATATTTTAAGGAAGATGTTAAAGTGATTTCGGCAAAAAACAAATAATTTAAAGGAAAGTAAATCACGGATGTTAAATCCGGCGTGTACTTTATTTCACTATTTTATTGACCTATTCCGATCTATGCAAAGTGAAATATAGTTTCGTGATTGAATTAAATCAGCCGGCAAAGTTGTTCCATCCGAATCCAGAGATCCCTTTCCACCTCATCAAACCGCTGATTTATGGATGGCAAGACAAATCGAAATTATCTGCACTAAATTAAAAATTCGCGATTCAATTCTGATTTCCTTCTTTTCAGTCGATTGGAATCTGCGAAGAAACTCCGCCATCGGATGGTTTGTGCACGAGCCTTATGCAGCTTCTGGCTGGAGTATTGCGCAATGTTCCGAAGGATGTACAGTCGAACAGGATTCAAGACATCATCAGGTGAGTTTATTTTTCTTTTAAAAAATGTCGATTATTGGTGTCGACATATTATGATGGCGATGAAATATTCAGTGGCACTGCTACTCCGGACCGACTGATTCCTCGTCGTTGCGCACGTTACGGTGGTTTTGGTATGCAGATCGGTGGCAACGGGTGCGCCTCGACCTCCTCTCCCTTTCCAACCCGCGTACTTGCTGTGCTGTTATTGTTTTTTTTTTACTCTCTTTCTCTCTCATTCTGTATATATTCTCCGAAACTTCCCCCAGGTCGGTCGCATTTTACATACAGTCGGATCCATTAACCCTAATGAACACAATTCAACTGTACTTTCCCATTCAGCGTTCCGATCAAAGCCTCGGCACACCTTTTCAACCCCCCATTTATAATGTATTATCTACGGCCAGGTACTAAATCATTCAAATCTAGATTGCTGCGCTATGGAAACCAATCGTAATCGTTTCTTATCCTCCGAAGATTATTGCTTAATAAATTTATAATTAATTTAGTTCGGACGCGTTCCCATAGATGGCTGCACGTATTCTCCGCTAATACTATTTAGCTCTGTAAATATTCTAAACCAATAGAATATTATACAGCAGAGTATTAAATTTTTGTTACATTTTTAAATCTGTGAAAGAAAAGTATTTAGATATTTAAAATACAATTTTTATTACGAACTAATTTATTAAATTTGATCAATTTAAAACTTAATATAGAAAAAAATTTTGTTTGAAAATTCTAAATAATTAGTTATTTTTTGTTTGTCGAACATTTTTTTTCTGATTTGGACATACATAGTTGAGTGCAAATGAGGAGTTTGCCAAAGTGAATCTCATTTACTTGTAGCATGCACTATAAATTAAGATAGAAATCTACAATGAAATATATGATCTATTGTAATTAGTTAAAAATATCTAAATTATTAAATAGCTTCCGTTGATACCAAATACTGTTGTTGCTGTTTTTTCCCTACAATCATAGTGACACATGTTGGAGTCCATCGATAATCATGATGGACTTGACCGTATGTTTAAAATGTGTCTGCAAAATGAGCATCGGCGACGTAAAACCAGGCGCGCACCCCTTGTTTCCCTTCTCCCCTAACCCGACGCATGGCCATTTATTTTTATTTTCTATGCGTATTATTGCAGTGCGTTTTTCATCTCTCTCTTTCTCTCTCTCCGTCTCTCTTTAAACATACAAGTATATATAATCATTCTCTCTTGGTGTTGTGCATCCACCTAGATCTACATTTCAAACCCACCCCTCCGGTATAAACATACTCAAATTGCACATGTTGAATTTTTATTGAATACACCTCGACGGGTCTCTCTTTTTGGACCCTCCTGATCCGCACATGACGTTCTATACGTATTAAATTAATTGGAAAGAGTCACAGGGTCAACTTTATTTAGTACTTTAGTTTATTTGTTTTTTATTTATTTTTTCTTTTTTCGTTGTTATTGGAATCAATTTATTTGGGACAAGTTTTAGATGAAACATTATTACAATTAGTACCATTTTTCTCAATGATTAAATATATTTCTATTTCATTTGAAATTTTCTAATGAAAATATTAATCATGAAATTTAGGAAAGATACTAAAAACTTGATATGTTAAATAGTAACATTTAAAATTACCATTAAATTTCGAAAAGTTTTATTAATAATTGAAAAATATATAGGATGAGACAAATAATTGAATGTTCTTGCTGGTTATTGAATTCTAACAAATGCGATGGACTGACGTATCGCAGTGTAGGTAAATTAATGGATCTATCAATATATTACCATTACCATTTAATAAATGAATGACACCATCGATGAAGTACGTATTTGTTTTCTCCCCTTCGGCTGTCGTCCGTTTATTTATTAATTTGCATCGGAACGGACGGTCCTCGTTGATATGCTTATATATCCATACTTATTTATATATATTATACAAACACACACTCATACATATGTATTAATTGATTGTTATTGGCTCAGATAGGAATCTTATCGAGCTCTCCTGATCCGAGAAATCCGGCCAATTAATTCTTGTCGATCGTCGCATAAATAATTGCGCATATATGAAGAGCGGCGAGAGATGCTCTTCGATAAAAATAACAAAGAATGTATCGTCATGGGGATCGTCGATTACATCTCAATGCAAATTATCGCCGCCTTAATTACACAATTATATGCTGAATAAGTACAACTAATTTCGACTAATTAATAAGTTTAATTGCAATTAATTCGCATAATTAATTCTGCGCCGTCGGGTGTCCCGGCGAGAGCGAAAGATGTAAGGAAGGGCAATTAGCTACTTTCATCGGTAATATAGCAATCATAACTGTTTCGACGTTTCCCATTCATTGCGATATTAATGATCGAGGAAACAAACATTGTGATTTCGGTCTTTATTCTGCATTTCCGTTTAATTGAATACGATATTTTAATAATTTCCAACTAATAATTTAACTATTATTCAGTTAACTTTTTTTTTGTATAATTTTAAAATATAAATACTCAAATGGGAATGAATTGTAATTCCATTTGAGTACTCAGTTAATTATTTAGCAAGTGCTAATTGCATGAAAGCCTCCCATGTCAATTAATCTGAATTATATAATAACAATGTAATATATTCAGGTGGTGGTTAATCAAATCTTAAAGGTTTAAAACGTTCTAGTAGTTGGGTTAAGATTGATTTTATTAATAACTAAAGAATTTATATTGGCATTAAGGAAGTGTTACCTTTTGGGGAAACATTAATGTCACGACAAAATAAACTAAATTATTCAGAAAAATAAGCTTTCAATTAATAGGTCAGTTTATGATATAAAATGCGATTACGTCAAAATATGTTACTGACAATTATTACTTGAGTTGGTGCGCAAAACTATTAATTTTAATATTATGGATACTTTCATACATCCGTTTTAATGCTTTTGTTTTAATTATGCTAGAAATATTGAATGTTAATCACATTCAAATAATACAGGTATGTCACGCTGGAGGTGACATTAAAAATTTGCTAAAATAACATATACACAAAACAGAATATAGATTTGAAAGTTTTAAAAAGAAGATCTATGTGGTCATAATTGTAAAGACGTTTAGTGATGTTGATGTACATAAAATTGAAGAATATTTTTTACTTTAATTTGTTTATCTTAAAATAAATACAAGTTGTCTAGTAATAACTTTGAAAATAAATCGAGTTCAATGGGTTAAATGATATCAAGTATTATATTTGTAAATTATTTAATAAATAGACTTAAATAATTAAAATTCATTTAAAAAAAAATAGAAAATTATAATTTAATGTTCAAAATATAAATATAATAATAATGTTTATTGCATCAGTCGTACCAAAAAAACATACAGAAATAAAAAGAACAAAATAAATATATATAATTTCAAAAAAGTTAACTGATACAAAGTGCTATTGATAATATAATATTTTAAGTTAAATGATACTTGTAATTTTTTTAAATATATATTTTTAAATTGACACTGTTATTTATTTGAGGTTTTGTGATAGGATTAGTGAATATTAATATTATCGTTATACAAAATGGAAACTTTATTTTTTGCCTAATTTGTAATTGAAAACGTTATATATGTGATTACGAAAATTTGTAGATTTTGGAAATTGGAAAATTTTGAACACGTACAGAGTTTCGCGGATTATAATTTACGAACGTGAGCCTTGCATTTGTGATTGGATGGCAAATGGAATTTCCGGTTAGCTGCGTCAATATTACCACAATAAACACTAAATTAATTCCACGCGGAAATTTTAATCTAAAATGTTAATTATATATAAACAGAGGAGAGGGGGTGGCGGTGGACGTCCCGCGGAACGGGGGCGGCGGCAACTGTACCGGCGGTAGCTTGCAACAAATGCCAACGTCCTCCTGCGAGAAATTGCAAATTAAGCCCAAAACAAGTAGACTTCTAATAAGATACACACAAAAACATTAGTATCTCTTGAGCAAACTTAATTATAAAATCAAGACTTGTAATCTCGACCGGCGTCGCTGCAGCAGCAGTCCCGATAATTGGGAACGAACCGGGGAAGGAGAGTCAAAGTCCCAAAGTTCGCAAAAAGGAAATCTGCAAACAAACATACATCCGATCAAACAAGGGCGATGGTTTTTGGTGGTATTTCGAGGAGAGAGAGAGAGCTTATAACTTCTTGTATTAATACACGTTTTGAAGGCGTCGCTCAAACCCTCCGGAGCAACGAAGAAATTTCAATTAACGATTTGATCCGGCCCTAAGATTTCCTATTAAAACTTAAGGGTTCCAAGGATTTGCGCTGTAAATGTTTATAGAAGATCGTATGTGTTATGTATACAAGCGTAAGTTTATTTTCCGAAGGAATATTCTACCTTTCGTTTTGTTTCGCCTTGTTAAATTACAAAATTAATTAATTACATAAATTTATTATTAGTTTTATTAATTATTATGTATAGTTATTAATTTATTAAACGTGAAAAATAATACGTCCTGCATCTAATTAAAATTAACAATAGATAGGTGTTAAAAGTGAAAGGTGTTTTTCCTTCAACTCGACTATAAAACATGAATTGCAATCATTCCTCGTTATATTTTATAGATGTTTTAACTTGTTTTTTCTTTAGCATTATTTTTAATGGACACTTATAATTGGTACTAACTTTAGAAAAATATATAGTCGATGTTAGGAAATATTTATAATTAATAAAGACTATTCAATATTTTAGAATAAATATCAATAATTCATATATAGTCCAAAGATTCATAGATTATAAAATATAGGATTGTCCGCAAAGAAATTTCGTTTTTCGAGTGTCGTTGGTTGTGTTCAAAGTTTATTTATAAAAATAAATTATTCTTAGCAGTTTTTTTTTGTGTATCAAAAATTGAAATAAAAGGATTTTTATTACAGAAAAGATAAGAACACTGATTAAGCAAGAAAAAAATATGCGAAGTGTATGGGGAAGATGTGCCAACACTGGTATGTTCTG